ATCACTACCAAAGAGCTACCACTTACGTTGTTATCCATTCTTATAAAATACTAGTATAATCACCTGAGTACTTTTAAGAGAATGGCAGTATACTTTTTAAATATCAGAGACATTAGGAATTCTGGACCTAATTCTAACACAAAAAAAAGTTGTAATTTGCTTTTGCCACAAAGAACTATGTATAATACTTGAGTTAATCATGATCAGATGATGTGATTTACAGAAATTGTGTGTATACCGACCATGCAGCCATCTTCACGGCTGAAGTAACTGTTTTAGAACCTCGCCAGCTTAATCCACCCCTTAGAGCTACGCTCCTGTCTTCTCTCCGTCGGGAACGCGTACACGGCCGTACGTGGCAGCAGAACCTTTAATCCTAGCCATGTACTCCTCCGCAGCGAAGGGTTTCTTTTCTTTGGTCCTATTAACAAAAACCAGCACAGCTCATGTTTTGCTGTGTAAAGCAGGTAAGTCACAGATAACTGACATGTGTACGCCGATACCGAGATTCAGCCCCGAGGAAACCGACAGCCTGGCCGCTGAGAGGACTGCAGGTGCAGGGAAGGCGGCGGCCGCCCGGGACAGTGGACGCAGCTGGCCGGGGCGGTAAGAACTTGGTAAAGCTCGCCGAGAGATTCTGAGAAGGAACAGAGGCACGAATCTGTACCTTATCACAAGCCCCATGAAATTATCACGTTAAAGGGGTGTTTCTTGTTAGCCGTCCACGTTGCAGCACAGAGTGATCACCGGCTTCCCGGGAGTCGGCGCACGCGCGATCGCGTCTGAGTGCGCTTCCGCTTCCTCTCACTCCTGTCCCTCCCTCTCTTGGTCCCAGTCCCATTCACAGCAGGTCTGTTTCCTGTTTCCTGTCCTGCGTTTTTCATCTTGCTCTTTCAGTTTTGTACGTTTGGGTCTCCTGTAGGAGAAACCGAGTAGGAGAAAGCTTGGACTAACATTTCTCTGAGCACTTCGGCCTCACATGAGAAGCAACTCAGATGGACTGAAAGGGCTGTGTCTTGTCACCCCAGGACAGCCCTTCAAGGGCAAGAGTTTTTAAAATTTTCAGAATAAAATAAACTCAAAATGATACATAATGGCATAATACCAGTAATTACAAAAAGTATAAATGGATTAAAAATTCCAGATGAAAATTAGAGATTGACAGACAGACTAGATGACAAAAAATAAAAAAATAAAAAGACTTTGTGTTTATCCCTAGAAGTGGACAGTAACTATAAAGACGAGACAACCAAGGGGTGAAGTACACAGGGCCACGGTACTCTCCAAGGAGTTGGGGGCAGTAGATCTGGGTGGTTGTTTGTATTTGCATTGGTAAGTATTTTTATTAAAAAGAAGGTTCAAGAAAAGGTTAAATTCAACCTATAATCCCAGCACATTTGGGAGGCTGAGGAAGGAAGATCACCACGAGTTTGAGGCCAGCCTGTGCTACCTAGAGAGTACAAGGGCAGCAGCCTGAACATAACAAGACCCTGTCTCAAGAGGAAAACAAATAGTTCAAAATCATGTAAGCTAGGAGCCATTTTTAGATATATGGAAGATGATTAAATTAAAGTGTATACAGCCATTCTTGGTAGCAGATGCCTATAACTCTAGTATTCTGGGAAGCTGAGGCAGGAGGATCCCAAGTTAGAGCCTACTCTAGGCAGGCCAGTGCTTTGTGAGACCCTGCCTCTAAATCAAAAAGGCCTGGTGATGCATCTTAGTGTAAAGGCCCTAGGATCAAGCCCCAGCACCAGTACATAATTTATTTGTGTTACTTTTATAACATCTTTTATATCAGACAGCTTTTATTGAAATCAGAGCAGATTGGCTATTCCCAAAGATAGCATTTTCTTACCAAGATATGACCAATTTGGCTCAAATGTAGTACTTGATAAATATTTAAGTCACAGCCAGGAACTCATCACCTTGGGCTCACAGCCTGTCACAGAGGCTTGCACCTGTGATCGCAGCTGCTCTGGAGGCTCAGGCAGGAGGAGGCAAGTTCATAGCCAGCCTGGGAAATGTGGCCAAAGCCCCCCTCCAGGTGCGGGTCCCACAGGTACGCTGTGTCCTGCGCTGCTGCTGGCTTATTCGTCCGTTCACCCTCCCCTGCCAGGACTCGTGCACCCACAAGGCCCGTGCCAGGCACGCAGCTGGCCCTGCTCTCCCTGTGTCCATTCGGGAGGGGGGCAGCCCGTCCACCTCACGATGCTGAGGGTTTCCGCTGTGCTGCCAACAGGATATCATGCAACTACAAATTCCATTCTATACCTGCTAGTAGCCACATTAAGAAGTATAAAGACATATATGGAGTGAATTGGGTGACACATCTAATCTACTGTAATATCTTAAATATTATTTCAACAACTAATACTTAATTTATTAATTTATGCATTGCCTTGGTGGAGACCAAACGAGAACCTTGCACATCCCAGGCAAGCTCTCTACCACTGAGCTGCAACTCCAGCGCCAAAATTTTTAAATTGCTGAAGAATCCTTTTTCATTCTTTCTTTTACATGAAAATTTCCTTGGGATTTCACTGTCTGTCACACGTTCAGCACATCTCCACCTGGACAAGTCACTGTGGCGGACCCTGACTGCGCGTGGCTGGTGGCTGGCCGATAGGGCAAGTGGAAGCCTGTGTGGACTCGCCTGCGCTTGGCTGTGGGGCATTGCAGGGCACAAGTGGACTGTGGGTAGATTCTAGGGAAGGGATGGTCTCTGATGTTAGGGGCAACTACTGGTCCAGAGGAGGAAAGAGCCCCACTGTGCCGGTGCCAGAAGTGCCCAGGTGGCGGCATAATTCTGTGGCTCAGCAGTGCTCCACTGGTTTTTATTCTGTAGAGTCCCCCAGTTTCCCTGTGTGCGGAGACAGAACTGTGCAGCCAGGGCGACATGTAGCCAAGTGAACCTCAGAAAAGCCGAAATCCCCTCAGTGTTCAGAGCCCCCCAATGAGACACTTTCTCAGGCTGCCAAATAAATAGCCCTGCTCCCTGTGTCGATGCCGCTTGTCAGACAGATGGTGCGGTGAGCCGGTGGCCCCATACCAGTCCTCTTAAACACAAACAAAGTGCTTCTAGCTCTAGGCTAATGAGCCCCGTGCTCATTTGCATGCTTGTCTTCTATTTAAAATTCATTCAAACCGGGGATGTAGCTCAGCCTGGCAAGCGCAAGTCCTGAGTTCAATTCCCAACACCAAAAAAATTAATTCACATTTTAACAAAAGAATTTCTGTTCCTGACCAAGCCTGATACTTCCATCGGGCTGAGTCCCCTTACTTTTGAGAATGTGACTTCACGTAGCCTACGTGCAGAGAGCTGGCTTTCAGACTGCGTCTATGATGCTTCATCAGGACCAAACCTCAGCTTGGATCTGGAAAGGCAGAGAGTAGGAGCCGGCCTGGACTCTGTCGTTGTCGAAGCATGAATGTTAACAGGCTCATCCTCGGCGAGGGGGGTGGGCAGCTGGGAAGCAGGGTCTCCCCGGGGTCTGTAGCATGACCTGTGTGCCTAGGACCAGGTGTGGCCAGCTCTGTCCTGACCGACGGAAGAGCAACAGACACACGACCACTGCGCATCCTGTTGCTGGGGGAACTGCCGTGCCAGCACTCACTTCCCTCGTTCTCTGCCTTTGCTCAGCGTCTCACTGCGCACAGTGGTTGCCCTTAAAGTATGTTTTCATCATTGAGCCCATAAAGCGTATAGTGCTTCCTTGACCTCCTGTGGGTTAAGAATGACGGATTCAGCTAGAGTCAGACTGTATTTAGCATGAATGAGCTAATGTCTAAAATCAAACTGACTAGGACCCTGGTGTATCTGTGTCATTTCCCAATTGCAATCTCTTTAATGTTTGTGACTGAGTCAGAAAAGCAGTCCTTTGTCCCTTATTTTTTACACGAAATCATTTTTAAAGCACTTTGATTCAATCACATAAAAGCAGAAGCAGACGGGCTGCCTGAGAGACCCAACTTGCACCATGTGCCTGAGAGCCAGCGCTGGCCAGAGGCTGAAGACGGCCAGCCTGCAAGGTCATCTGGGACACGGTCGAGCTCAGAACCGGGTCTTCCGGACCCAGACTGGGCTCGCCCTGCCCAGCACCACTTGCTGTGAGGCTTTGCCGTCAGAAGCACGTGGGCCTCCCTTTCTTCCCCAGCGCCTCCCCGCAGCACGTCGCCTCCTCGGCAGGCCCCGGGGCACAGCGAATGCACCCTGCAGGGCTGCGCAGGACACAGCACTACAAGATGCCAGAGGCAGTGTGCTGCTCATTTACTGCCATGTCTATTAAAGCTCCAGAGAGAATCTAACTCCCTGGATTTTAAATATAGTTGAGATATTATGGTGATGTTTCCTGATTTAATCCCTCAATAAATTAGATGAAATGATTATAGGACCTGTTGTCGTTTCATTCTTGCCCTATCTCCAATCACTCTTATTCCTTCATTAATTCAGAATAAAATACCCCGAGACACTAATGTAGCACTTGGAGACAGGAGGGCTGCACTTGACAGGAAAACTTATGGACAGTAATTCTTTAAATACTGTAATTTATTCATTTATAACATGTCAGGATAAATTAAAAGAACAGTCTGGAAAAAAAAAAAAAGGCTGCATTTTCATGGCCTCAATATAAAGTCTTACTTCGGACGTCTACGCCTTTACTGGACTAGGAAAAAGGAGGTAAAACCTCACTCATCCTCTGTAAACCTCATGGTAATGTCACGGATGCTGACAAATGAGGAAACTAAGGCTCGGAGTTCTCAAGAAGCTCATCCAGCCACCCTGCAAGTCCCCACCCACCAGCACACCCTGGCTTCGCTCAGAGCATAAGGCTCCTGCTAGTCGGCCTCGAGTTGCTGGGGTTCCATGACCGCGGTTCCCAGGGAGAGGCACTCTTGCCAACCTGCAGGCGAAGCCAGACATCCCGGTGTTCTCGTCACTTGAGCATCAGTGTTTTTAGTTTATGACTTCACAGCCACTGTTTGGTCTTCTCTTACAGAAGGCAGCAGGCCACTGCAGCAGAAACTGTCCTTAGAGGGGAACCCCAAACCTGTGCATGGAACCGCAGAGAGGTCAGACGGCCCACAGTGGGTGGCTGAGCAGCCCTGGAGCCCGAGCAAGCCCAAGGCAAAAGCATCTCCTGTTAAGCCCAGTGCCCCTGCAGCTCATCTTGAGATAAGACCAGAGGAGCTGGCAAAGAAAAGAGGTAAAGTGATTTATTTTGCACAACTGATTCAACACGCATCACAAGCACAGAGAAGAGCAGGGTGATGGGACTTGCTGACAGGTATCGCTGAGCACTGAGAGGCGCACCTGGGGCTGTACTTCTGCAGTGCCCGCCTGGGCTGGAAGGCAGGTGCGATCCTTTGGGTTGTCAGAGCCTCGGCTGTCTCAGAGTGTTCTGGCCCCCTGTGCCACCTTTCTGTGGCTGCTCCCTGCTGGGTGACGAAAGTACACCAAGCTACCCTCCACCCTAATTGCTGCCGCACAAGTGTCCATGCAGAGCCCCTGGGAATGGGACCAGCATTTCTGGAGATGAAGGCTCTTGCACAGTGTGGCCAGGTCAGGGCTGGCCTTCCCCTGGGAGCCCAGGTCCATGTTAGAACTTCCAGGCGTGGGGCCCTGGGAGAGGATTTTATGCTGGACACACTGGGGTTTTTATTTGTGAGCTGTGATACTCAGCCGTAGCTAGCCTTAAATGTTAGAGACTGGGTCTTCCCCGAAGACTCACGAGAAGTGAGTCTCCTCACTCAGCCATGACCGTGTCCATGTCCCTGACTCAGGCATGCCCTCCCTCTTCCACAGAGAGCACCACCTGGTCGGGCTACACACGGGCCATTGGCCATCACTCTCTGTGGTCCCCGTGTCAGTGTTGAGGACTCAGGTAACACTGGCACCAAAGGCTGCCTGAATATGCCTGCTGCCACCGCAGCCTGCCCCAGCCACACCTGGCACCAGCAGCCATCCTCTGTGTTGGTGGCACCTCGCCCAACCCTGATGCCACCTTCCTCTCCACAGCCCTGCTGGTTCTTCACCACATGGTGGTGTTTGTCAAGAGAGCCAACAGCGCAGGTGGCCTTTGGAGTCTGCGGCACCACGGTCTGTGACGGAACACGAGGATGTGAGCTCCTTCTGCAGAGCAGAGGAGACAGGTGTGCCCCAAGCAGCAGCCAGAGCCCCGGCCACGGACCCTACTCTGGACAGGGTTTTTCCCACTAAAAAACAACATGAATTTATATTTTTGGTGTGTTAGTTGCTTTGTCTCATTGTGTAGCATGCAAAGGATAAAGTGCTCAAGGTGACACATTTTTGCATCAATTTTAGGCCCAAATATTGAAAAATCGGTGAAGGATTTGCAGCGCTGCACCGTTTCCCTAACCAGGTACCGGGCAATGATCAAGGAGGAGGTGGACAGCTCTGTGAAGAAAATCAAGGCCGCCTTCGCCGAGCTGCACAACTGGTGAGTGGGGGCCTGGCTGTGCTCCGAGGAGCCGCGCCAGCCGGTGCCTCTGGCCGCATGGATGGGAGCGTCATCCGCAGGAGGCGCATGTGCCGCAGAGTAGCAGCCGCAGAGATTTAAGAGCACTGAAGGCAGAAACATACGTCTTGGGGATAAAAAAGGAGCAAGGATTTGAATAGGAAGAAACCTGCTACACGTAACTCACCAGAGTTTAGGATTGGCCCAAAAGCTATAAAAGAAATAGGATAAAATCTCAACAATGAATAAAACCTCAAAAAATAACACATTGACAAAGTCTGGGGCCCTAATAATGGGGAAGCTACTAAGCAAACAAAATAATTCCAGCATTATCATTAGAAAATCAGAAAACTACTTTAACAAAAAGAAATATTTGACATAAGCTAGCCATAGTCTCCTATTCTGGTGTGTTTAAGATCCGAATTAGGATAGAAAATGGTGTGCCGATGTGGTCCTGCCTGCTGGCCTGAGCTGGTTTTGAGCGGAGGGCCTGTAAGCCCACCCTGACGATAGCTGCATGAAGGACTGTTGGCTTAAGTGTTATCATCAGTGAGACCGTGCTGCCAGTGGATCAATGAGGATTCCGCAGCTCCAGGAGCCAGAAACCCAAGTCCCACTGGCTGTGAGAACTGACGTGCGGAAGAGTCCTGTGGGACCCAAGCTCTCACCCTAACTCTGCTCTCAGGGCTCCCGTCCCTTTCTGTCCTCGCGGCCCCCACTTCTGCTCACACTCGCTTGGCCTCTCTTAGGGAGCCCTCTCCAGGTGACAACAAAGACAACCCCAGGAGCCCCCGGGGCTGAGAGTGGGTTTGTTTCCAGTGGCTCCAACCAGCTGCAAGGGCTGCTCCCCCTGGCTGGCCAAGGCCACCCGTGTGTCCCTGAGCCAGTCACTCATGCGGAAGGGACAGTCTGCTCACAGCCTTGTGCTTACGCAGAATTAGGGGTCATCCCACAAAACACTTGGACCTGGAGTTGCACAGCCCCAGTGTTCTCTCCAGAGGACGTGAAGGGCTCACACCGAAGGAAGGGAAAGAATGTGAGAAGGAAGCCACGCGGCTCCAGGGCTAAGCCCAGGGGGCGTGTGCCCTTCACCTCCTCGGCCTCCTGGGATTCTCCAGCATGACCCCATCTTCCGGCTGTTTTCCTCTTCCAAGCCCCTGCTTGGACACTGATGTGCTTTTTAGCAGAAACTGTGAGGTTGCATGAAACTAAGGATTACTCTTCCATTAACTTCATCCAAAGCTCATGAATGTTGAGCCATCTGCCACATATAACATTAAGGGTGCAAGAGACACCGAGGACTTGAAAGAAAGCCACTGCCATCCCATGCAGACACTCTAACAGAAGGACCCTGTGCCCACACCCTGTCATGGGCCGAGAGCAGCTGGGGACAGCAGAGAAACCCATGGCCAGGCGTCCACGGGGCCACACTGGCCACCCCTCTGGAGGCACGAGCTGGTGGCTTGGAGTCACGCACGTCCGCCTATCATGTAGCCTGCAAGAGGAAGTCTTCCTCGCAGGCTTCTGTGACCTGTTCCACAGAGTGACTCTTGCATGACTGACCCTGGGGGCAGTGACCTCGGAGTGCCTCGCCCCAGCTGCCCCAAGGGCATTTTGTTTCATTCTGTTGTTGTACTTATTAGTAAAACAGACAGCGTATGAGTCCCAGGACTTCTGAGGCTCACTAGAGACTCTTCGAGGGCCCGCTGCTCACACTGCGTGCTCGGGGCCAGCCGACTGGTGCCATGGGAGCCGTGCGCCTTCTCACCCGTAGCTCCCCCAGCTCAGATGGCCGGTCAGAGCGGCTTCTGAATGAGCTCCGCCAGGCCAAGCTGCCGAGCAGGTGGCGTGTGCAAAGGACAGCACTTCGCGCGCACCCGAGAGGGTGGCTACAGGAATCAGCGCCTGCACTTGCTTTCTGATCTGATGAGAGCACGGTACTTGCATGAGCGTGAACCTAACAACAAGCCCAAAGTACTTTTTTAAGTCACCCACATACATGCATGTCTGCCAAGTGGAAACTTGGCCTCTGCTCCCCATAAGCCTACAGCCCAGAAAGCCTCCGCACTCCCTTAGGAAAGGGGGGAGGGTGCGCTGCAGGAGCGTACTGCTCGCAGCACTGAGGAAGGCAGCCTGGAGTGCTTTGAGAGCTTTCCTATTTACCTGTGGTTAAATCCGGCACCCTAGGCCTGAGCGGGAATGGAAAGGCGCCACGTGGAAGTGCAGGGTCACATGGAGGAGCGCTGGAGGCAGCAGGTACGGGCCAAGCCCTTTGGAGCCCCAGGAGGAACGCGGCTGTGCATGTGCGCACGCGCACGCGCACACAGGGCAGTGCAACGGTGCGGTGGCTTCCCAGGGCCGCCTGCTCCCCTGGGGCCACTGCTCTCAGAGCCAGTGACTCAGTAGCATCCTCACTGGTGAGAAATTCGAGACTGTCATTGCTTCCAAAGGCCGGCTTGAGGACACAGTCCTGCTTCACTGCCCCACCCCCAAATCTGCTGGAACTGCTGGAACCGTGGTTTCCAGAAGCTGGAGAAGCCAAGCGAGCGCAGCCCTGGTGCCGGGTCGGACGCTTCTCCCCACCCGCAGCCCTGAGCGCTCCTGAAGGGAGCCAGAAAGTAGCTAACAGACCAAGTGCACACTGGCATTCCGCCAGGACACGTTACCCAGGGCTCCGTGACCGCGCAGTCTGCCCGGCCTCGGCCCACGGCAGAGGTGGGAGGGCAGCAAGGACGACGCAGGCGCTCACAGTTCCTTTGAATGGAAAATAAACTCGGCAACGCGAGCTCGAAACGTCCATCAGGAACTAACATGAAGCAGCTGTTCTTCTCTTTGTGCGTTTGGCCTCCGACCACAAATGGAAAATACTCGTCCTTCCGAATCGGAGCTGCCAGGTCTCTTGCTGTGTGTGCAAACCAGTCTAGCCTCTCGCCACCAGTCAGTGTCTGTGGTCCTCGCTGATTGTGAGGGCCGAAAAGGAGCAATCAAACATGAAATTTAAAAAAACTCCAAGGAGGGATAATAATACTTGATATTTCTGTCATGTGCTCAGGGAGAAAGTATTCCAAAGTGGAGATGTAAAAATTCTGTTAAGTGCTATTGTCAGCGTACCACCTAAGAGCTCGCCTAAGGCTGGAGAAGCCGAGGCTGGCCAGCCAGGCTCAGTGCGCATGTGTGCAGCGGGCAGGGCCAGGGAGGGGGTGAATAGGGATGGGGGCGTTGGGGGGAACAGGCGCTCTCAAGTGGAAGGGAAGGCAGGCTGGGCGTACTGTGCAGGAAGGAACCCAGAATGCCCCTCCTCCACGTGTTTCCTGCTGCTGTCAGGCCTGGCCCAGGTGAATGTGCAGGCAAGTCAGGCCAGGAGCTCCGGCCTCCACCCTACCGCCTGCCCCTTGCACCTGCTCCTCCTCCCCATCCTCCTGCCCATCCTCCTCCTTGTCCTCCTGCCCATCCTCCCATCCTCCTCATCCTCCTATCCATCCTCCCCTTCTGCCCATCTTCCCCATCCGCCTCTCCTGTCCTTCTGCCAGTCCTCCTCCCCATCCTCCTGCCCCTCCTCCTCCTTGTACTCCTGCCCGGCTTCCCCCTCCTCATCCTCCTGTCCATCCTCCCCCACCACCACCCATCCTCCTCCTCTTCCCCATCCTCCCCATCCTCCTCCCCGTCCTCCTGCCCATCCCCCTTCCAGCAAGGCCTTGCAGTGAGAAAGCCTCCCTGTGCTTTGAAACCTCCTGCTTCACAGGATGACTGACCTCCCCCTCAAGTGACACACGCCTTAGTGAAACGCCTCGTGGAGGAGACTCCCCCACCAAAGAGTAACTGGCCCGGGAGTTTCAGCAGCATTTCGGATAAGCTTGCCTCTGTCCTGCATCTTTGCACCCCTCTCGTCTGCTCTATCAGCTGCGAGCCAGCACATGCTTAGCAGGGTGGCTAACCAGCACCGCAGGGTGATTTGTCACTGTTTTTAAGTGCCTGTCCTTTCTCTAGGATGTGCATATACCAAGGCACTGTGTTCAGCATGACTTAGATGCCCTTCGGCCCGTACACCCAGTCTGCATTCCCTGCGTGCCCAGGCTGTATGAAATTTTGGGAACATATATCCTTAAACCCACTTTAGTTCCAATCCAGATAAGACCATTTCTCTTCGCTTTGGGAGGTGAAACATGTAGTGGGGTTCTTGTCTTGTTTGTCGGCCCCAGCACACATTCCAGACACAGCTGCTTTTATGCGGTGCTTGGCTGTCCATACCATTAGGCAACTGGTTCTTCTGTGCCCTTTGGGTCTCTACTTGCTCTCTCTGTGGCAAGTTAGCACTGACTGAAAAATGAGATCTCTAAATTAATATTTAGCCCTTGCCACACCAAAGCATACTATACACTGTAATCAGAAACCCTCAGAGCTTTGTGGATATCCCTTGCTGGGGTACTACCCTGAGATACTGATCTCATTACCCCAGAGAGATGCGTTTCCTTTTTTGTTGTTTTTAATCCAGGTGATTGAGTCTCTCATGCATCTGTAGTTGAAAACCGCAGGGTTAGAGTCCTGCCCAGGATCTGCATATCTGGTGCCAGAGCGGGGCTTCTCAGGCAGGTGAATTCGACCCCCGGAGATGGGTGGCCATCTGGGCACCCAGGGAGGTTCTGTTTGCCAGGGCTACAGCGTGAGAATGCAGCAGGCTTCTGTGGGCAGGGACCGGGTTGCTGTGTCCTCCCAGGGGTGCACCAGAGCCCTTCCCACGAAGTCATGCCGGGCCAGGGGGTGCCAGCCGCCAGCCCCGAGCACCTGCCTGCCTGCCTCCCCAAGAGACCTGAGGGGGCTTCGCCCTGCGGCTGTGGTGCCTTCTCTTTTCAGTCAGTGCGTAGGGAAAGACTCGGTCCATGCTGCAGAAACATAAACCTCTAACGATGCATTTTAAAGGTCAAATTACATTTTTACCTCCTTAAGATCAGAAAAATAATTATATTGTAGTGCAGAACACTGAA